CGTGTGCTCTTCCGATCTCCCCAAAACCCCAAAACCCCAAAACCCCGCTAATATAATTAGCATCAAATTTAGGGTTAAAGTAAATATATTAAAATTAATAGGACTTGCGCAAGAACATATCATTTACAAAGCGCAAGTATAGCATAATTCAATCTTAATCATATAGAGAGAGAAAGTTATCCTAACATAATCGAGCTATGCTCACATATTCTTATATACTTAGAATAGTGAAGCTGGAAGCTATTGCTATTGAATTTACTGCTAGATTGACAGATACTGATTGAATTATTATAAGTTTGAATTGATATTTTATTGATACATACTTTGTTGTTAATTTTATATAGGTATTGATTAAACTTATTATTGATAGGTATTATAGTAGAATTCTTGGCCAGTAGGTTTTAGAGATAGATTAGAATTTTAAGCATTAAATAAAGGCGAATTATTAAACTATGCTGAGTGAAGAGGTGGAGATGGCGTGGTTTAAGTTGTAGGAGTATTCACACCATTTGACTGACCTGGCTTGAATTAATCGAGTGCTTTCACATTTTGAAACTTGTATAGTTATTATTAGAATAGCATGTTTTAATCCTGAGCTTGTTAATAAGGATCAATTAAAGTCATTTACATAAAGTTCTAAGAATTATCTAGTTAGGCAGCAAGACCTGGATGCATTGTGAGATAGTTAGGAGAGGCTTTCTATTAATCTTAGAAATTCTAAAAACTCTAGTTGGTTGATTCATATTGTTCAATTTCGTAATCTTCATCATAGATTTCTTAATCCACCAAGAATTAATCAAAGTCATTTTCTGGAATTTCCTAATTAAACAATTGATCTCTTAACTTTACTCCATTATTAAGCTGATTTTAAATCTTGCTAAATTGATCATTAAAGCCTTGATTAAGCCCGAAAATTTCGCTTTTGCACCCACTAATCAGGCTTTCTCCAATATTCTTCAGTTAAAAGAAACACTTTGCTGTTATCTTACTATCACTGCCTGCTTGATGTTCACAATTGTCATCCCTATAAACACCCAATCTTTCACTTAGACTGAATAAACTTCCTCTGAAAACACCCAGAACTTGATCTGCAATGACTTTAATATCGTAGAAGTTAGGGAATATAAGCGATAGGTCTTATAAAAACTGAGAACTCTAAAGGGGAATAGAGTTTCCTGATAGGATCCTGAATAGATAAGCAAAATCATGATCAGTATGGAAACCGTACCAATGCATGTTAGAATTCATAACCAAGCTGCTTTTTATAAAGTACTCAGCAAAAGTTTCGTGCTCGATACCTCTTAGTTTTAGCTTCTCAAAATCGATTCCTGAATTCATGAGCAGACTAATAGAACTTTGATTCCATTTTTCTTTGCTAAAAATCAATAATTAGGACTGAGTCAATGAATCACAGATTAAGAATTTAGATAAAATATGTCGTATTTGCTTACTTCAAATCAAATTTAAAGTTGAATTACCAGGTGCATGTTGGCTTTGGATACTCTCCTTTTTCATTACTCAATGTTATTCCTAACTAGATCAACTTTAAATTGTTGACATTTTCTCTGACAAGCAGATACTATAGACAGATAAATTATAAGCATTTAAGATATTTACTTGCGTAGATCCTTCAAAAACATCTCCAGGAAATTCAGTATCCTAAAAAAATCATTTAATACTTGAATATCGATAGGTTTTAGATTACCATACTGATGTAGTTGTAAGTCTAAGCCAACTCAGCTATTTTGTCAATTTCCTGGAAGAAATTTTCATTAAAAACTTCAATGACATCAGGAGACAGATTTTAATTTGAGTGTTTTTTCTATTGCAATTTAGGAGATCCCTGCTTCTTATATTCTTTAACCTTCTAAAAATATTGAATGAAGGACATTAATTACATCTGTACTCTGAATCAATGGCTTAGTTTACTCATTAGGTTAGGATTGATGAAATTGTGATTGTCCAGAGGGAGAATAGGAGAACTTGTTATTGAAATTGCTAGAATTTACGAAATTACTGCTTTAACTAGCCTGAATTTGCTAATATTAATAATATGCGTTGAATGGAGAGGCAGTTCGATTATTAGGATTAAATATTTTGCTATCTTATTGTGTTTATTGCTTATCTACAACTTAGTATAGATATTATTAAGACTAGAACATCATTTTCTCTGAGCTCAAATAATTTTGCTTTGAGATAATCCCCTGATATTTTATTGAAGATTTTAATTTATTAATGACTTTAGGATTTTATAATAGCTATCTTAAAATAATGCCATAATTATGCATGATGGGGTTTTGGGGTTTTGGGGTTTTGGGG